ATACACATGTATGTTTATGTATATATCTATGCATATATAAATATATACATATAACAAAAGGTAATTAAAAACCTCACTAAAAATATATAAAGAAGAAAAGGTGAATAAAAGTGGTCGCGACGGCATAAAAACAAAGCCGGTAGTGAAACGCGCCACTATAAAAGTGCAAAAAAGAAGAAGAAAAGGTGAATAAAAGTGGTCGCGTCGGCATAAAAACAAAGCCGTTAGTGAAACGCGCCACTATAAAAGTGCAAAAAAAAAAGAAGAAAAGGTGAATAAAAGTGGTCGCGTCGGCATAAAAACAAAGCCTTTAGTGAAACGCGCCACTATAAAAGTGAAAAAAAGAAAAAGTGGATAAAAGTGGTCGCGACGGCATAAGAAAAAGCCGTTAGTGAAAACGTGCCACTATAAAAGTTGAAAAAAAAAGTGAATAAGTGAAGTGACTCCGCGGTTGCACTGGCATTGGGTGGTGCAACAAGGCAAAGCGCCCTTCAAAGGAGGTAAGCATCGAAGCGGAAGAGCCAGTGTTGTTCGGCGAAAACTTTGTTTTATAGGCAGCAAGACCTCCCTACCAACGGCCCAGCAAACCGTAAGCTAATAAGCAGCGTTAATGGTGAGTTTTTTCAGTAATCTGATTTCTTAACATAAAATTCTTACGATTTGTATTTTTTTTTGAAATTGTGAGAATTTTCACATATATTTTGCGCTGCACTGCGAAAGTACCACAGGCAACTCCTGTTTGTTTGAAATAAGTTTTTTGATACTAAATCGGTCGAATTCGGGTTTTACATCTAGCCATATAAAATGGCTAACGTTGATGAATTTCCACTGGCCTGTGATGCACTGTTAGAGTTTGAAGAGTTGTATAACAACACTCCAAGTGCAAATCATTCGGTTTTTTCACTAGAGATCCAAAAAGAAGGACTCAAGGCATTATGGATTAAAGTTAAGGAAACATATGAAGGATATTCGCGGAATTTATCTGGAGGAGAATCAGATGCATCGGCCAGACTTTCTGCAAAATGTCGGTATCAGGATTGCTACGCAGCATATCTGACTTGTGCTGCATTGATGGGCGAAACCATTCACAACCTGACATTTGTGCAACAAAGTACGTTATGGTGACTTTATGGCATGGCCATCTTTTCGGGATCTTTTTACAGCAATCTTCATCAACAATTCCCGTTTAACCCCAGTTGAAAAGCTATACTATCTCAATCGAAAGACACGAGGAGAGGCTAAAGATATCGTAAAGAAATCTCCTCTAACCCATGATGGTTTTGCAACCGCATGGCAAAACCTTTCCGACCGTTACGAAAATAAGAGAGTAATGGTAAATAGTCAACTGAAGACACTGTTCAATTTGCCTACCGTGACAATTGAGCGTGGTAGTGACATAAAGAATTTACAACGAGCAGTAAACAATTGCATCTCAGTTCTCCAAATGTATGGGATCGAGATCAGCAATTGGGACGCTATTTTTGTGTTTTTAGTTTCTAGCAGACTACCGGATACGACACTAGCACTTTCGGAATAAGGAATAGTGAACAAGGCCGAAATTCCGAGGTGGGAGGATTTAGACAGCTTTCTTTCAAGTAGATTCCAGACTCTTGAGACTGTATCTGATATTCAAAGTACGCGAGTAAATAAGATAACCCAAAATCGTGCACCAGCACCTCTCTCAGGAAAAAAGGTATCGGCACACCATGTTCAGTACTCGCAACCTGTATGCAGATTATGTCCAGAGGGATCCGATGTGCTGAAGCTTTGTCCAAAGTTCCTAGCCATGAGTGTGGATGATCGTTCCAGAACTGTGAGAAAATACAATCTGTGCATGAACTGTTTGGCTCATTCTCATATTGCAAGGGATTGCAAGAGTACATTCAGTTGCATGAACTGTCATCAAAGGCATCATTCGCTGCTGCATAGAGCGCCGACTGGAAAAAGGCCAATGGAAACCCCCGCTGCTCCAACACTTGCATGCAGAAATGATAGGCAAACTCAGACCTCAACCACCACCAGCAGCGTAAATGCATTGTTCGCATCAAGCACGAAGAACGTGATCCTGGGTACAGCAATGGTGCACATTTGTCTCTCAGGAGTGAATTACGTGGCAAGGGCCCTTCTGGATTCGGGATCGGAAGGCACGTTTATAACCAAGCGATTGCAAAAACGTATTAATCTGCCAACTCAACCAGCTGACTTAAAGGTATGTGGAAAAAACCCGACGACCCCGGCTAAAGTGCGAGAAATCGCCAAATTTGTTTTCAGTAGACCAAATTGATTTTGGTTTACTGCCCCCAATCGATTTAGCTGATGTCAATTTTATTAAAAGTCAACAGGTTGACTTGGTCATTGGTGCGGATTTGTATCCGGCCATAATAATGGGAAACGTATTAAAGAATGTCCTGGGCTCCCTTTTGGTACAGGGGACAATCTTTGGTTAGATCCTGACAGGTCCAGCCCCTCAGACCTCGATTGTGAGTCCGAAGTCATATGTTTCTATGTTCTCCGAAATCTCTAGCTCTGAACTCGCTCGATTTTCGGAGCTTGAGCAAGTTCCAAGCAAGAGACCGGTCACTCCTGAGGAGGCATATTGCGAACACTACTACCGGAGCACGACAATAAGGAAGAATGAAGGGCGATACATGGTGGCTCTACCTTTTAGACAAAAATTTCCAGAGGAGATTAATTTAGGATACTCGCGAACTAGCGCGATGCATCAATTCCTCCGAAAAGAGGCAGCTATGTTGAAAAAGCCGGATTTTAGGGCTGAGTATCACCGAGTACTGCGAGAATACATAACCCTCGGTCATATGAAGCCAGTTGACGACAGCACCGGAAGAAGCACTCGAGGAACATACTACTTGCCACATCATGCAGTCATCAAACCTGACAGCACCACAACGAAGGTACGCGTTGTATTTAATGCATCAAGTCCATCCTCGAACGGGGTAAGTTTGAATGACGCACTCCATCCTGGTCCGGTTCTGCAAGCTGATATCATTGCACTCTTACTAAAATGGCGATTTTTCATATATGTCTTTAATGCGGATATTGAAAAAATGTATCGGCAGATCCGTTTACATCCGAATGATACCCGTTTCCATAGAATTTTATTTAGAGATTCAAACGAGGAGGAACTACTAGACTATGAACTCCAAACGGTGACGTTCGGAGTCAACTGTACTCCATATTTAGCAATAAGGACGCTGCTTCAACTGGCAGAAAATATCAGATATCAGTACCCCTTAGCCTCCAGAGTCCTTAAGCAGCAATGTATGTTGATGACGTCCTTGCGGGAGCTCATGACTGCGACACAGCGATACTAATGCGTAACGAACTCCTAGAGGCTCTAAATAAAGCAGGATTTCCCCTGCGAAAATGGACTTCAAATTCCAAGGAAATCCTGACTGATTTACCAAAGGACTACCTATTCAAAAAAGACTTCTTGGAAATTGATGCTATCAGTGAAGCAAGAATGTTAGGAATTAGGTGGAATGCTGCCCATGATAGGTTTCATTTTAACGTACAAGAGGTACAAATCAAGCTGAGTTATACAAAGCGGGAAGTGCTATCATATGTAGCAAAGCTGTTCGACCCTGCAGGTTGGTTAGGACCTATAGTGGTAGAAGCAAAAATTTTAATGCAGGATATATGGCTCTCCATAATAGAGTGGGATGACAATTTACCGATCGAAATTTATCTGCGATGGGTAAGATTCTTAAAAAACTATATCCACATTGCAAAAATAAGAATTCCAAGATGGATTAGCTTTACGCCTTGGAACGAGATCGAGTTTCATGGATTCTACGACGCTTCTGAAAAAGCATATGCTGCTGCCCTATACGAGAGAGTACGGGAACGTACGTCAAATGAAAACCTGAGGTAAATCTGTTGGTAGGAAAAACCAAAGTGGCACCGGTAAAAACGATCTCCCTACCTCGTTTGGAATTATGTGGAGCGCTACTCCTCGCGGAATTAATCAATGCTCTTCTTCCACAGTTTGACGTTCCTCACCCAACGGTTCACAAATGGACAGATTCTACCATAGTGCTATCATGGCTGCAGAAGCCCCCCTGCTCCTGAACTACCTTCGTGGCAAACAGAGTATCAAAGATCGATGAACTCGTCGGAGTGAATGACTGGAATCATGTGGATTCACATGACAACCCGGCCGATCTAGGTAGTCGCGGGGTATCCCCTCTCGAACTAGCGGAGAGTAGGCTCTGATGGCAAGGTCCGAAATGGTTGAAATTGGAACCATCTGAATGGCCTCAGAAAAATGAGGAAGCGATTGAAACCGAGTTGGAACAGAAGATCATAAGAACTCATGCTTCAAGTATTCAAGAGAGCGAAGACATTTTGGAACGATTCTCTAATTTTTCCCGAGCATTGAGAGTAGTTGTACGAATTTTCCAATTCTACCGTAGAACGCACGAAATACTAAAGCTGACACCCCGGAACGAGACCTCGGAAATAGGATCCGAAGAAATTCGGAAGGCAAAGGAACGTCTAATTCTGCTGACACAGAGACGATGCTATTTGACTGAATACCAGGCACTAGAAGATTCAAACCCAATAAGCCCCAAGAGCTCCATCCTTACACTCAACCCCTTCCTTGACAGGAATGGAATCATGAGAGTGGATGGAAGGCTTGCGCTGTCGGGATTGCCGTACAATGAGCGCTACCCCATTATATTACCTTATGACTGTCAATTTTTCCGGCTTCTTGTCAAGTTTTCACATGTGATTTCACTGCATGGTGGAAATCAACTCGTGTTTAGACTGTTGAGAACGGAATATTGGATTGTGCGAGTAAAAAATTTAATAAAACATATTATTAATAATTGTAAAGTTTGTATTATTTATAGACGAAATACAAGAGAGCAAATCATGGCAGCACTTCCTCCTGAACGAACAGACATCTCGAGACCATTCACCAATACTGGCGTCGATTTTACTGGACCATTTGACATCAAAAACTTTACTGGTCGAGCATGTCTGATAACAAATACGGATACGTCTGCGTATTTGTATATTTTGCGACGAAAGCTATACATTTGGAAGCCACCAGCGACGTTTTGGCCTCAACGTCTCTAGCTGCCTTTTCCAGGTTTGTATCTAGACGCGGTTATCCGCGTAACGTTTATTCGGACAATGGCACAAATTTCGTAGGAGCCAGCAAAGCTTTGAGGCAGGATTTCAAGAGGTTTATGACTGAAGCACCAAGTCTTACTGTGCAGTCATATACCCATCAAGAAATCAACTGGCACTTTATTCCTCCAGGAGCACCTCATATGGGAGGATTATGGGAAGCAGGAGTGGTGTCAAAAACCATGCGCTTTACAATGGAAGAGTTCTCTACCCTACTCGCAAAAATAGAAGCATGTCTGAATTCGCGACCAATCAGTCCACTTTCAGACAATCCCGAATCGACGGAACCTTTAACCCCAGGACACTTTCTAATTGGAATTCCACTTTTGGCTATTGCAGAACCCGAAATAAACGGAAGCCCACAGTCGATCATCAACCGATAGCAAAAGTTGAAAGCACTTCACCAAGGATTCTGCCAACTTTGGAAGGCAGAATATCTCAAAGAATTGCACAAAAGAGTAAAGTGGCAATTCCCTCAGCGAAATATAGAGGTGGATGATTTTGTAGTTGTCAAAGAGGACAACTTACCCCCCAATGAATGGCGACTTGGCAGAGTTGTTAAGATTTTTTCAGGGCCAGACAATCGAGTTCGAGTCGTGGATATCTCTACGACGCGAGGCATAATCACGCGACCAGTTGTCAAATTGATTGTGCTTCCCGTCGTAAAACCAATTAATCTTTCTACTTCTAGTGATTTCCAACATGGGTCGTGCGAACAACAACAACAAGATGGCGAAACCACAACATCAATGCCCGGTGTGTAATAATAATCACCGATTGTTATTTTGCCGCCAGATGCGAAGGATGGATCCCGCGGAGAGACTTCGAGCTGTCCTCCTGCACCGCCACTGCGCCAATTGTCTATCGCCGCATCACATGGCCAAAAATTGCCCATCCACCAGAACCTGCCAGCGATGTCAGCAGCGACACCACAGTCTCCTACACCTGTGGGAAACCGCAACAAGTGAGGAAGACGTGCCGCCGGCCATAGGATCGGCTGATAAAATGCAGAAGAGACAACGTTGCCCTTACTCGGCTCAGGATCTGGACGACATAAACGATGACGAGGTATTGGAGATCCACGCCAGCGAAGAAGAAGAAGACGTCACACAAATATCTGAGGACTCACATCATCCACGGGAGCCGATATCCAGACCTCCTCTGTCGGGTATCCGGTCGGTGATTCATCGCCCCCCGCAGTCCACCATAGAAAGACGTCCACCATTGCAACAACAACGGACACGAAACCGTTCACAACCCTCTCGCCATAATGTAAGAGACGCCCGACAGCGAATAAAAGGGTATCCTCGAAGCATCCCGAGTCGATCTGTCCTTACGCCAACGGTGAAGGCAAGAGTAATGGTGAACGGACGACTGCTATCGGTACGTGCGCTCATTGATCCAGGACAATCCTCATCGACGATATCAAAGGCATTAGCAAGACGACTCCACGCAATAACACATGGTCAGCGAGATGAAGCCAGGTTAACACTTAAAGCCTGGCGTGAACGCCTATAGATACGCGCGAAGGTACTGCCCAAGCTAATGAAGACTACGCCAGAACATACATTGGATGCGCGAATCGTCGACGAATTTGATAACGTACGACTGGCAGACCCGATGTTCTACAGAGCAACTCCAGTCTCGTTAGTTCTGGGAGCAGATGTAAATGCCGCTATATTGCGACCAGGTTTGATGGCCGCTACTCCCACACTCGGATGGGTGCTATCAGGAGGCACGCCCTACTAAAGGTCAATAATGATGGCGACCCTAAGATAAAGATTTTTTATTTTTTTTTCTTCTTTTTTTAGTTTTAAGTAAAGTGAATTGCATTAAATTTTAAATAAAAAGATTGAAATGTAAAGGACCTGATTTGAATTATCCACTCATATGTATAAATATTTGGAATACTTCTGTTGCAGTGATGCTGCAAGGTGGGCGGCATGTTTATGCGTGCAACCCTGCTGCGTCGCAACAGTCTCGCCAATGATACACTGGAAGATAACATGATAAACCATTTTGGTAGTTTTGAATCCCGTTAGCGATTCCATGAAGATTTCCCCTTCTGTGGAGTCAATAAAAGGCCAATGTTGCCTAACAAACCTTCTTCTTTTATCCAACTCTGCGTATCAGCGACATCAAGGTGAGTCTTTCCTATTTTTTCTAGTTATATTTCACATATATATGTAAATAAATAATTTATATCACATAAAATATTCAAATAAAATATTTAATAACTTCTAACAAAAAAGCTAGCTTGTTTTTGGTGCACTCTCTTGGAGAGGAAGCAGGTTTTTTTCTAATTTTTGTTACAGATCAGATTACTTGTGGAAGTACGTCGCCTCCCCCGATCCCCGTTTTCCAGAATTCACGACGAATTCTGGACCCTGTCAACTCCGCAACGAACAGTATCATTCCGGCCGGGAGATTTAACACTTATGTCATCTCGGTTATAAAATTCGTGGACTGTTTTAATGTTTTCCAACATATTATCGTTTGAACTTACTGATGTATCAGCTTCATTATTTGAAATTTTGGGATACTTTTTATATAAAGTTTGTATGTCCTCATCCCTCTTTATTGCATTCTTTGGTAACGCCTTCTCTACCTTCTTTATAGCTTTGCATAGTGTTTGTTTACACTTGTAACCACTTTTGAACTGGGTATTCGATTTTTTCTTGGTTGCTCTACACTTTTTACTCTTTATTTATTGTTTTATTTTTTATTATTATTTTTGGCCTCACATGCTTTTCTCTTGCGATATTTACGCATTCTTACAGCTTGTTCTGCTCTATGTTTTTAAGCTTATTTTCATCTTGTTTAAGCCTCTTCCTCCACCGATTTTGATTTTTAGCATTACTTAACATCTAATATTTATTGTAAAAGTAAAAGTATATTTATCAAATGGACTCAAACTAAGAGCATTAAATTTTTTGTATTTACCATTATGCACGTAACAAAGTTCAAAAGTAAAAAGAAACTAATTTTTGCAGATTGCTATTTGTATTAATATATTATTTTAGTAAACAATAAATTTGCTTAACACAAAAAATATTAAGACACTGAAACTGATATTGCGCTAGTTATGGCACTTTGTACTTCTTTTGCATTACGCACGTGATATATGAATGTTGCCAAAATAGAAATAAAAAATACCGTTTTCTCTCATGTTTATATTAATTTGTAGCTGTATCAAATACTTATACGAGGTGTGTTCATAAAGTATCGCGAATTTTGAATTTTCGCGGGTTACGTATAATCGAATTTCGAATTTTTTGTGGCTTTATGTTGGTGCTTATGTGTGTCACTTATGCCGACTAGTTTGGCCATTTTGAATGTTCACTTAATTGTTGACTGCTGCTTTGCTTGCACGTGTTTTCGGTGGTCTTCGATTCTTACCTATGCAAAAATATGGATCAAAGAACCTGTATCAAATTTTGTGTGGAAAACGAAATTAAGTGCGCGGATGCATTCCGAATGCTGACTGTGGCATACGGAGAAGCTACCTTGGACCGAGGCAACGTTTATCGGTGGTACAAAATGTTCTCAGAAGGCCGAGAAGATGTGAACGACGAAGAGCGTGCCGAACGCCCGAGCACTTCAACAACAGACCAAAAAATTAATGAAGTGGAGAAAATGGTATTGACGTAGGGTAGAACGGTCAATAAGGAATATTGCCTGCAAGTTATGCGCAATATGCGAGAAGCAATCTACCAGAAACGCCCGGATTTGTGGAAGAACGAAAATTGGCTTTTGTACCACGATAACGCTCCTGCTCACACATCGTTGCTTGTGCTCGACACTTTATCCAAAAACAACACACTAATGATGCCGGAGCCCCCGTATTCCCCAGATCTGGCCGTGTGACTTTTTCTTGTTCCCTAAACTGAAGAGGCCCATGAAAGGACGACGTTACGCTACGATTGACGAGATAAAGATGGCATCGAAGGAGGAGCTGAACAAGATAAAACAGATTTTTTGAAATGCTTCGAAGATTGGAAAAGCCGTTGACACAAGTGTATAATATCTCATGGGAATAACTTTGAAGGGAACAAAATAGATATTCATGAATAAATAAATAATTTTTGAAGAAACACAAAATTCGCGATATTTTTTTACATAGTAAAATATCAAAAATTTTCTTCTCTTTTCTGTGGACCATTAATAACAGTGCAGTGACGACATACTTCAGAGTACGAACCACTAATTAATTAAATAACGAACATTTGTTTTCCGTAACGACACACGGCAAATCGGTGTACGAATCGCTTTACGACAAGGAACAAATTAAATAACTATAAAAATCTTGTGAAAGAGCAGCAAACACTTAGAATTAGTGAAAGCCCCAAGACAAGATAAAAGCAATATCGTCAAAGTTCGGTCACCAAGGCGAAGGAGATTTGACAAAAGGAGAATGGAGCAACAAGAAATAGCCAACGTGGATATTGTGGAGCAGCTTGCTAAAAGGGAACAGCAGCTGGAACAACTCAGACTCGCTTATGTCGACTTACGACAAAGACAACAGCAAGGTCGCGACATTTTGGACAAGACACTGAAAAATTTTAATCATCTTCCAGTCTTCGCAGGACAAGGATATGTAACCGTCAACTCAGTTTTTTGGCAGCGTAGAATACTTGATATCAACGCTACAAAACGATGAAAATAGGAAAGAGATAGTTAGAGCTATATACTATTTATAAAACCATCCAAGGTGAAGCAAAAAATTCCGTTGTTAATATCCCTAAGCCAGATAACTGCAAACTTATCAGGGACACATTAATGTTGAGATACAAACCGGACACCAAACCTCATCAAATTTACAGAAGAATTGCCAATTTACGAGTTAATACAGTACATTTATTAATTGATAAGATTCAAAGTATTACATATAAAACAGATGAATTAAAATTATATTTTAATGATGAATCGGGCATAGACCTAACAAATATAGAAAGCTTGTTAGTAAATACAATTAAAGAAATAACACAGGGAGCATTATTGGACAAAATTTGTGAACAGAGAGAATTAAATAATATTTTATACATAACGAATCAAAGACGATTTGAAGATACGTGTATAAGACCGGAATACAAGACATATTTGAAAGAAAAAAGGCATAGGAATAAGTACCAAAATAAACAAAATATTGACAGGAAATATTATGGTACGGAGGCAATTAATAAGCGTCTGTATCACGATAGAAACAAATGGAATCCAAACTTTGTAGACATGAAGAACAAAACGGTTTTATAGGTATAAAGGTAATAATTATAAAATCAATAATATGAATAATATTATTTCTGGAAGATTCAGATTCAGACAGTAAATTTTCAGGACAGTTTCAACAATTAGGGAGCTCAATACCAAACTCCAATAAAGTTCG